AAGGCGTTCAATGTAATATTGTCGGTTTTATTATATGCAACCACTTTATCGCCAGGAGAAGTGGTCGCCGACTTTTAGAACGCGTCCCGACCGACAGCTTCAGGCGCGGTCCGAATAAGGCTGTGGCCTGGTCTGGAGTGCATCCAGCTGCAAGGCCCGACCCGACAGGGTTGCTGCTCATTTCATCTCGCTCAATGCGACTGGCGCGCACTAATGCACTGACCGTGGCTTATCACAAACGGCACAACCGGCGACAACGTCGTGGGGGTCGGATGACAGCCGCGGGCATCAAAGTTCATGGGGAAGCAAAGAAGTCGGTTTCGATCGTTTGGGTTGAGGCCAAACACCCCTCAGGAGGCCGGCTACCATCCCCTAAGGTACCGCAAAGGTAGAGTAAACAATTGCGACCGGTTCTATGCACCCGCCCCTCCCCAAACTAGGAAACTGCGACATGACTTCCCCGACTGATCCTCTGATGGCGATTGGTGGGATGCTCCTCGAATTCCCCGAACTGGCAAGCATTGAGCACGGGCCAGGCGCCCTCCGCCCAAAACGGATCCTGAGCAGCCACTTAGAGCTCGGCAAATGGGCCGCACGAGCCAGTTTTTGCCCTTCCCCGGTCAACCCAACAAAGCCCCTGTCAGCAAACAAAATAACCCTGGTACCTGACCGGGACCCGACTCCTCCCCAAAAGCTCCGCCAGGCCCATGGTCTTCGACGTCTGCACCAGGCATCTCGAGGTGAGAGAGCCAGCCCTGGCATTTTCGTCCTCGTCCATTTTTTTTTTCCCTTCACCCTTCCCCTCTGCAGACGCACACTCTCTGCAGCGCGCCGACGGCATCGACTCCATGTCCTGTATCTCGCCAGGACCTAATTCGGACAATTGATTTGTCTCGTAGCGTCTTTCTTGTCACTGTGAGCTTTGATACCCATACAGCGTCACAATGATGGTGTGCTTCCAACAAACTTTTGCTTTGACTGACACAAACGACTTTTAAACCATGCAGCGTTCAATCCACATATCGCTCTCCATTTTCACTTCTCCTTTTCCAACCGTCGTTAGCGACCGAACTCAGACGCCACTACACATTGCACTACACCGCCTACCCGACGCTGCAGAATCCGACCTTTGCGCCCTCGACTAAACCATCCCATCTACGCGGTCGACGACTACGCTCCTTCCGACTTCACGACCGCGCCAGACACTTCCACGGCATTTCTAGCATCTCGACTTTGTCACTAGCTACCCCTCGCCGGCCAATGGCTAATAGGAGAGATGGCATCCACTCCATCAAACCGGCTTAAGCTTACACCGTCCAACTCACCCTTTCTATCCCGGCCGTCACGGTCGCCAATTCGATCCCGTACCGTCTACGACACTTGTCTGTCCCTTAGAAGGGTCGTCGGTACAACTTGCAGTTCCCCAACTGGGTTCGACGCTGTGCATTCTTCCTTCGCATACATTGCCGGAGGCGCTGTTGTGGTGGTTGATGTCTCGGGCGAGCACTACTCGCAACGCTTCTACCGAGCCAGACCGTCCGCCGTTCCGGTATATGCTGTGTCGCCCGTGACACATGCCTCGTCAACGCCCAATTCGACGCCAAAAGCGAACGATAGCAGGAACAGGGCCGCAGCTTCTCCACGAGATTCCCTGTATGGTCCAGTAGACTGGGAATCCCCCAGCTCCAAAACATGGACGAGCCGTGAGCGCATCAAGGCTGCGACTTGTCTCGCCTTGAGCCGAGATGGTAGATACCTTGCCGTTGGAGAGACCGGGTATGCGCCGCGGGTCCTCATCTTCAGTCTGCAGGAGACTTCCTCCGACATTCCCCTTGTGTCCATCAGCGAACACACGTTTGGCGTCAAGGCCGTTGCGTGGTCTCCCGACACCAAGTACCTAGCATCTCTGGGCGCCGCAAACGATGGGTTTCTCTACCTGTGGAAAATTGATCCGCGAACGGGCGCCGCGAAGCTCTTTCAGCAGAACCGGTGCACCTCCTACGTCAAGGGCATGGTGTGGATGGGCAGTAGCCTTATTACACTAGGCGTTCGCCACGTCAAGGTTTGGAGAGTGGAAGAAGGTCCATCGATCTCTCCTACCAAGCAGAAGTTTCCTGGGGACGGGTCCTTTCCCAGGGAACAACTCTCTCAGAAGCCACTTCCCGGAAGAAATATCCTTCTTGGATCCATGCTAGAGGCGACTTTCAGCTGCGCTCTGGCGATTGGGGAAGACAAGGCCATCATCTGCTCAGAAACGGGCAGTGTGTGCCTCTTGGACGATACCAATAGACAGATGAAGCTCACCAAGAGCTTGGACATTGGCTTCCACGTGAACTGCATTTCCAGCAGGAACGATGAGGTTTTCATTGGTGGCAGAGACGGCCAATTCGCCACACTTAGTCTCAGCGGTATCTTGAACGGCGCTCCTGAGCCAACGATTCACAACAACTTCCAATCTACCGATGGGCTCATTGCCATGGGCTTTTTGGCCGAGAACATGGTCACAATCGACACAAAACGGTCGATTGACGTATGGAGCCCGGACCACATTCCCGTTGGTCCCAAGGCCGACAAAAATCACATTCCAATCCCAGGCCCAGGCGATCCCATTGTCGGCATTCAGCGCTTGGCTGAGAGGAACGTTCTTGGTGCCGATTTTTTCACCTGGTCAGGGTCTGGAAAGGTCCACGTCTGGGATATGGAGGGCATGGTCAGATCAACATTTCAAATCCCCATTGAACAGATTGAATCTGCGAGCGAGGCGGATCCTGTCAACCAGGTAGTGGTGGTGAGAGCCACGAATGACGGGAGCCTGTTTGTCGCCGGTGACAAGCTTGGTATCTTGCGGATCATCGATTCTTCGACAAAAGAGTGTGTCATGGAGACAAAGGCCCACGCTTCCGACTGCCAGGACATTACTGTTTTTGAGAATCGCACACGATTTCTAGTGGCGTCCTGCGGTCGAGACCGGACGGCACAGCTCTTTCACAAGTCGTCAACTGGGTCGTTTGAGCATTTTCAGACGCTGGAGTTCAGTGCCAAGGTCGTACAGGTCTTGATTCCATCCGATGATAAGATCCTGACATGCTCGCTCGACCGAACACTTCAAATTCATGATCTCGTCACAAAGGAAGGGGAACCGGACTCCATGGCCGCCATTCCATGCAAAGTCATTTCTTTGAGGGCCTCTCCTTCCTCGATGGTCATGACCCCTGACAAGAAGACGATTTTTGTTTCGCTTTTGGACCGCTCGGTCTGTCAGTTCGATTGCATCGCCGGACGGCTCATCAGCTCTTTCAAGTGCAACGACGAAGCCGGGCTCGAGTCTGTCGTTCTTGAGTCTCTTATGTACGGCCAGTTTGCCGCTGGAGACCTCTCATTTATTTTAGGTTTGTCGAACACAGACAAGTCGGTGCGAATCTACGATGCGCAATCAGGAGCGTTTATGGATCGCGAATGGGGTCACACCGAAGCCATCAATGGTGTGACCATGATGGAAAACGAAGACACTGGGCGCAGGGTTGTCAGCGTCGGTGAAGACGGCACGATCATGATCTGGGCATTGGATCTGCAGGACACTGGGGTGGGCTCAAGGCTTCGTGATCCCTCGCCAGAAAAGCCCGCTGCTCTCAGCTTTAACAGGCCGCCACTGCGGAGAGTTCTTTCCAAGGCGGAGCTAGCCGAGTTCCAACGTCCTTCATCCAGTCATGGGAGGCGGTCACCACCCCGGCCCGTGCAGCGACGACCATCAAAGTTTCATCTCTCGGGCACGGCATCAACGAGGACGCCGATACAGATGGAGAAACATGTCAGCCCGACGAGTGCTGTTGCAGAGAACACGCCATCGAGACGTGTGTCTTCAGGCGGAAATAGCAGGGACGACAGCCCCCCACCCGAGAGCCCCAAGAACCGGGCAAGGATATCCCGCCGTCCTTCGCTCCCGGTGCTCAAAACACCATCAGGCTCAGTCACATCAAGAAAGAAATCTAGCAGTACTATGCGCGGAGGCTACGGATTCGGGTCCCTCAGCATGGCCACGGAGCAGACATGCCGTCAGCTGCGAGCATATCGCAAGAAGCTGCTATCTGCAGATGCCATCAACACGGATATTTTGACTCAGCTTGACACGGAGCTGCGATTGACAGCTGCAGCTCTAGGAGAGAGACAAATCCGAAATCGAAGCAAAGGAAACCAGGACGGGAAAGTCGTCAGCGACCTTCTCGACAAGTACAGCGAGAGGTTGGTCAGCATGCTGGACGAGAAACTCCGATTACGCTTGACGGAAGAAGAAAAGGATGCCCTGATCAGGGAGAGGCCACGGACGGCAGGAGAGGGCTCCAGTTCCAGTTCGAGCCCAGGGGCCCTGTGTATGGAGCCCGAATCGATATGATGTTTGTTTTCTCTGTGATGCGGAAGAGGTTTTGGGATTGGCGGACACTCATCCTGACTATAAGTGAACGAAGCAACAGGAGAAAGCGGGAAGGAACCGGCGAGATACCCCTTCTGATTATTTTTTGGTTCGCGGATTTGTATTTATAGCACCGATTTTAGTGCGGGTGGAGGGTTTCGTCCTCCTTTGCTTTGAGGCGCTGATTCTTTTGTTTTTGCTTGGGGATCTATTTTGCCAGGCCCAGACGGCTTTCACTTGGTGATCAGGGTGGATATGGGATTTATATTTCCAGCACTGGGACGGAAACGGATGGGAACGGCGTTATTGGATTGCATGGATGCCGACTCCATTGCTAGTGGTGGGCATTTTGGTTCCCCTTTTGGGATGAGATCAATAAATGGATATTGTCAACCTGTTTTAGTTTTGTGGTTATCTCGAGTGAGACCGAGGAATGACCAGCAGTGCATTATGTTATGGGCGACAGCAGGGGAGTTGGCTGGAGGTGAGGCCCATTCTGCATGCGTGACTGCGTGTCTCTGCTCCACCTCGCTCGAACCCTGACAGGACCTGGATAGAACAAGTTTGGAGGCTACACCCACATGCACATCAAGCCTGATTAACTCAGTTGGTTAGAGTGTCGTACTAATACAGCCACGTTAGATGTACTTTGTATGCGAAAGTCGACAGTTCAAGCCTGTCATTGGGCATAGGTGTTTCTTTTTTGGTCGTGACGTTCAGTTTTGGTGTTTTGCCCCCCCCTCTCTGGAGAACCCCTATTCCGTCAAATACCAGCAAAACCACGGCTTCGTCCATGCTTTCTCCAGAGGACATTTCACCATTCACCGCCTATTCACCACAGCAGGATATCATCCCTGACTTCCACAGTGGACCCCCTTTAGAGTTTGCCACAGGCCAGCCCCTGACATGTCTGTATGTAAACCCGAGCATCAACCTTGCATCTCATCAGCAGCCAGCAGGCGTCCAGCCCGGCTAGCTCAATCGGTAGAGCGTGAGACTCTTACAGAGTTATCCGGAATCTCACGAAATTCCTCTCTTCATCTCAAGGTCGTGGGTTCGACCCCCACGTCGGGCTCAATTCCCGTCTGAACATGATCTGGCTGTGTTTTTTGACTTTTGGCGGACCTCGTGCCCCTGACATGGACAGGCATGTACAGTGCAAGCGCACCTAGCTGATGCATGTATTCCATCCCCAATAAAACTCTGGTATTGACACCCCGACGCCTAACTATAGATGCTACCACCACCTCTAATTCTTCTCGGTCCCATTCTCGCAGGAACAATACCACTGTACTTTCATATTCTTGTGTTTTCTCCTGTACCGCTCTTCTGCCTTTGTATTTTGAGTGGGAAACCAAACCAGCCGCTTACCCGCTAAATGCACATCACAATACATAGGCACACACACAGCCGCAGCTCCCCTATCACACAACCAACCCCCCTTCCACCGCCTCGTCCCTCTCGAGCTTTTCCAGGCCCGTATACACAGCACCGTAAACCCTGAGTGGGACAGCCACCTCGAAGCTCTCGCACACCAAATTCTCCGCTGCCACGAGGACCAAGCCCCCGCGATCGTCACGAGAGATCTCTTCGAGTAGTGGATGTCCCACCTGGCCTTGGCTCTGAGCCTGACTCTGATGAGGCTGCTTCACCATCTGTCCCCTTTCCTGTTCGCGCTCCTCCTCATCATGACTCCCCTCACTGCCGGCTTCGTGCTCTTCTCCTTCCCCTTCCTCGGGTACCGGCACAACGAACTCTATCTTGATCTTCCACTCAAAACTCACCCCGCTCGTAACAAACTCCGGTGTTGCGCCCGTGGGGATGGTAGGACAAAACACAACCCTGCGCGAAAACAAGGCGGCCTCGCTGCTGCTGACGAGAACTTTCCTCGTGACGCGGTGAACGCTGGCTTCGCTGCGCAGGGCAAGACTCGGGTCGACGCGCTCGGCTGTCTCGAGGGCGAAGTGGACGGCGTAGCAAGGGATTTCGCCGCCGGTGAAGTCAATGGCGAGGGTGACGGCCTCGCCGAGGCGGTAGGCAGGGCGGGCGAGCATGACGACCCCGACGCGACGGCCGTTGCGGGCGATCTCAAAGCGGTTGGCGGATTGCTGGCCTGCGCGGGTGAGGTTGGCGCGCATGATGGCGAGGTCGATGGCTTCTTTGGCCGTGGCGAAGCTGGGCGAGTGCATGCCACCGGGAGACAAGGGGTCGTGGTCGGCGAGAGAGTAAGTGGACTGGCGGCGCGAAAGGGGGGCAGCGCTAGGGCTGAGTAGACCCCCAGGCGCCTCCTGCGGCCGGGAAAGGAGCTCGTCGACATAGCTAAGAAACGAGTTGATGGTCGAAGGAGGTGCTGATTTGCCGCCGTCATGGGCCTCTCGTTGGCTTTGCGAGCGGTGGTCGACCGTTTTGACTCGCGCCTGGTCGCGGAGAATGATGTACGGCGACATCAGGTCGTGACCTAATATCTCTCCGTGACTGTTGACGCTCCCCAAAACTCGAAAGGGAATCTCGACCGACTTCACCTGCTGCTCCTTGGCTCCGCCAGGCCTTTGCGTCCCAATCACCAGACTGTAGGATATCTTCATCGCCTTGCCCCTATGCGTTGGCGGAAGCCCCTTTGGCAGTCGAAATGCATACTCGAACGCCTTGCTCTCCCCCGGCGCCAGTTGCAGATCGACGAACAGGATCGACTGCGGTGTAGACAGTAACGGTATCGACTTGGAGCTCGCAATCCCTCGCATCTCTTTGATGCTGCTCAGCTCACCCCCGCCCAGCAACTCCCCAATCGAGCTCGTGATGTTGCCCCACCCAAACCCCCTGAGCAACCCGCTGTCCCGTTTTGTCGTCTCCACGCCAATAACTCCTCCGCCTTGACCTCCTACTACCGCTTTCCTCTTCACCTGCTCAAACGGCCCCAGGTTCACCAGAGACCCGTCCAGCGTGAATGACCCCTGGACCTGCGCGTAGCCCATCATCAGGGCCTCGGGCAGCATCCTGGCCGCGCTCGACGGCGCAAAATTCGACGTCCGCCGGTTATGTGGCTGCGCTCTCCCCTGTGTCCTCAAGGGCTGCTGCGTCACATACTCGGATGCCAACGTCTCCGACGAGTTATTGCTCAACGAGTAAAACTCGCCGCTACTCCTAGGCGTCCCTGCAACACTCGTAGTCGAAAGAACCCTCGCCGACGGCATCACCCCATGCTCATTAATCGTCGGCACCCCATCTCGATTCCTCGCCGGCAAGCTCTCGGGCGGGACACTCGTCGGACTAAGCATCGCCTCCTCCTGGCCCCTCCCCGGCCCGGCTGACGCAGGCGACTCCGACATGGGAAACCTAAACTCCGATATCGCATCGTGCCTCCCAACTGGCGACCGTCTCGGCGACACAGCCCCCACCGCCGGCGTATTCGGCGCCGTTGCCGCCCCAGAAGGCCGCGAACCCAACGTCGCTCGGTCTGGCGGGTAACTCGCGTGAAACAGCGGAGACGACTGCGCCGGTGGCCGGAGCGCATGCGGGTGCGTAGCTACCAACACAATCAGCATTCATCCCTCGAAGCCAACATCCCCTTCCGCCCACCACCAACACCCAACCCTACCCCCGAAAAAGAGAAACACCTACCCGACCTCGGCCCACTCAACGGCAACCCCCTCGACACAATCTGCAAACTCGACGCCCTCGCATGCCCCTTGCCCGGCCTCTTCCCCCCTTGCTGCTGCTGCTGCTGCTGCTGCTGCTGCCCATCCCCCTCCCCACCCCCCATCGAAACAATCGACACCGACCTCTTATGTCCCTGCCCCTGCTGCCCACCCACCCCTTGCCCTCCTATCCCCGTCCCCGTCGTCGGCGACTCCCACCCAACCGACCCCGCCCTCCCCCTCGAAGAAGACCCCGACCCCGAAGCCGGCACGCTCAAGCTCAAGGTACTCCTATGTCCCCTTCCTGACCTGCCCGGCTGCGGCGGAACCAACCCCCCTCCATTCTGCTGCTGCTGCTGCCTCCCCGCGGGGCGAGCCCCCGGAGAAAGCGGCGACGGCAGTCTACTGGCGTTCCTCCCCTCCGAGCTGAGATGACGCCCCGTCGTAGCGGCGAGGCGCGGCGGAACGGAGGACTGCGGCGCCGGCGGGCGCGCGACGTTTCGAAATGTGATTGTGCATTTTACTTCCTCGCCTGCGAAAACGACTTGGTCCGTCCAGTGGATGAAGACGCGGATGTTGGGTTGGGTGTTTGGGTTGGTGGGATTATTGCCGAGGTGGGAGGATGACATTGTGAGGTGCGTAGGTAGGTAAGGCAGGTAGGTATGTTTGGAGGACGGATGTTGGGCAAGCTAGGTATCGAGGTAGGTTCGGTTTCGATCAGGCGCGGTTCGCCGCCGTCGTCGTCGTCGTTGTGGAAATGGTGGTTAGAGAGGGGACTGCCGCATTGCTGCTGCGGAGCATCTTGCGGCGGCGCGCGCGTGTGCGGTGCGGTGCGGTGCTCGCTTCGCAATGGGCAATGGCGGTAGGTGGAAGACAGATTTCAAGGTTTGGGAAGCTCTGCTTCTTCTTGTTACTAACGGCTGTTGCCGCGGCGTGGTCGTTCCGTTGGCCGAGGTGCGCATCAAGACCCGCTGCAGTTCGCTTGAGCCTTGGGATTGCTTGGCTGGGCGATCGCCCGGATTGCGGCACGGAAGGCGGTAGGCGAACCCTAACCCTTCCCCTGACCACACCCTCCTCTCAAAGACGAAGTGCTGGCCCTCGACAAAATAGGATATCAATAGCAGTGCGCTGAAGGCAAATCCAGACGAGAGGGCACTTTTATAAGACAAGAATTCCTTTTTCGCAAAACACAAATCATGGGGGCGCTGGCACAGTTCCGCAATCTCGCTCGCCATGGATTTCCTGAAAGTAGGGCTAAAAGGGGCAGTATTTACCTGTCTATCCGTCCTGGATAGAGCGGATGGATCTCTCTCCTTGGTGTCTATTTGCATTCTCAACAGGTCTTTTTATCTTGAACACGGGGGATGTATCGGTACTCAACGCTTCTTTGCATTGCAATCATAACTCTACGCTTTCGCTACAAGTCTTCGCAAACCGTCAACACCTGTTGTCAGTCATCCCCGGCGTCCACATCCATAGCGTCCTGAAGACCGGGTTCCTCGACATTCTGCCCCTGCACCCTCTCTGCTTTTTCTTTCTTCAGCAGCAAACAAGCCGCCTCTGCGACCTTTACCCGGACCTCGTCTCTGGACCGCCCTCGAGCTTCCGCCAACCTCCGCCCGCCCAAAACAACCCAGCCCACCACCTCCTTCTCCCCGTCATCCCCTGCTTCGTTGATCACCTCATACCCGTACTCCTGGTGGTAAATGTCAACTAATATTCATGAAAGCCTCAGGAGAGCTCAGTCTTCCTCCTGAGACAACAAGGTAATATGCCATATTATTGCACAGAATTGGTCTTTTCTCGGAGGCCATGCCCGCAGGCATGGTATCCGAGCAAACTCGAATCTGGTAGAATAATACAATAAAGGGGGTAACAAAACATCAGGAATCGCACTTACCGCCGTTTGATCGCCTGACAGGCTCTCAAGCTCCTCCTTCGGTTGAAGCCAATGCACATTGTCGCGCAAAAGCCTCCGCAGGAGCGGGAGAATGCCGACCCGCTCCACCACCTGTGTGCAGACATCCATGTCGCCTGAATCAGTCCAGACCGCGCCAAGCACACTCTCAAGGACGTCAGAGTAGTATTTTCCAGCGTTCAGACGACAGAGCAAGACCCAAGGGTAGTGTGTACCTCTCTTCAGAGCTTCATTTATAGAGTCTCGGAGCTCCTCATACCGACCCTTGGTTCGATTCTGGCAAAGACCCATTGCGGAAGATGCGTGACGCATGAAAGACCAGAGAGGGTGTCTAATTGTGGTTGTCTTGACATTGATCTGACTGATGCTCGTTTTCATCCGCTTCCGCGGTGGGGCCGGGTCCTCGTCTTCGTCAGAGGAAGAGGCGTCGGAAGGTGTCGGCAAGGAAGGCTCAGCCTCAACGCGCTCTTCTTCAACACACCATTCCATCATGAGGAATGCGAGGATGTCTGCGTTGACGAG